AATATCCAAGAGCTAGTGACATCCCAAATGTCCATCCACGGGTGAAAGGACACATAAATTTTGGTGGGTGCATTCAACAAGGTCTCTGGTGGTGAGGTGGGCTACGCCTTGGGCTGCTAACAACACGGTCGACGATTTGAAACCACTGGTCATTTCTGGAGCCAGGGAAAGAGGAGGCTTTCTACTCCCACGAGGATTGGCAGTCTCAGAAACCCATGGGGGGAGCCCCCCTCATTGGGTTGCTATGAGTCTGACTTGGTCTGACGTCAGGGAGCCTATGCATCCGGTGGGATATTAGGCAGTCATCACGGGGAAGTGAAGTGTGGAAGCATGGGTAATGCTCTAAAACATGCTAAGTGAAAGAAACCAGAGCCCAAAGGACACGCATTGTATGGCTCCATTTCTGTGAGATTTCCAGTACGGGTAAGTCCACTGAGGCAGAACTCAGCTTGGTGGTACCAGGGCGAGGGGTGGTGGTGGAGGAATGAGGAACAGCAGGGTGTCAAGAGCAGGCTCTTCCTGCTAAGGAGTGGAAACTTTTGGGACCTAGCTCGAGGTGGGTGAAAGTTGCACAACATGGGGAACATACCAAATGCTGTGGAACTGTTCTCCGTAACGTGGCCGATGTCACGTATGTGAGTTTCCCCTCAATGACAGCAAACAAGATTGCTCTGTCTGCCTTGCACTCGGCATGCATTGGTTGGAGATGCTTAGAAGTGCCAATAACCAAGCCTGATCCCCGTCGCCTGAGTGAAGCTCGTCACGTGTAGGAGAGGAGAGCTTCTGGCTTCTAACAGAAATCCCGATTTCCAGAATGTTCAGCGGTTGAGTTGAACATTGAGCACTGGTGGGATTGCTGGCCCCACGCAGGGAGGCGGCTTGGGCGCGCATCTCTGGTTCGGGTGAAGAAGCTCAAGCCTGAGAGGTCAGGTGATCGCGGCCCACTCAGCAAGGCCAGTGGCTGGCCAGGAGCACAGTGCTCCTGCCTGAGTGCACCTGCTTGCTATAAACACCCAGCCCCGCCACCTTTCATCTGTCTGATTACACAGGGACCACCCAATAGGAAGCGGGGCAGCAGTGCGTCCATCCAAATCAGGCTTGCCCCCGGGCAGGACTGGACCCCCCTGCTCACATGCCCAGCCATGAACGGGCTCAGACAAGTGGGGTGGGCCTGGACCAGACCAGCGCCGTCTTGGCCAGGACCTAGGGTCAATTTTTTGAGTTTGCCTCTCTGGACGGACACATTCTGAGCTCATTTGCTCAGCCAGGCCACGCTGTTT